GTGACCATTAGGACTGTACACTTAGCTATCCATGGCTACTTATATTTGAGTGAAAATACTGGTAAACCTGAAGCAAGCTGAAAGTAACCTAAAGGTATTGCTCACTGTATAGATAGTTCTCCCTGTTTTGTAGATGAAGGGCGAGAATGCAAATTGGACTGCCTCCCTTTTTACGTTGCTGTCAGTATCAGCAACAGCTGCACATGTTATTGCTGGAGAGCAGGGTATTGTGGGATGTAGACCTGGTCCTTATGGTTTATACTGTTCAATTTAAGGCCAGTGATTAATTAGGTTATTGCATCCATAGCTGGAGTTGCATGCGTAACCAAGATTTATGTTGCTATAGCAACATAGAGAGACACAACTGTGCTGAATTTCCTAGATCTTTGAAGTAGGAGTTCTCCTAATCCACAATGGGATTGAGAATTCCCACCAGTGTGTGAAGAGAGTAACTAAGAGGGGTCCTTATTAATAGACTGAAATCTTGCATATCTGACTCTCAAACTGAGTAAATTCCTGTTGCTCATCAGAGTGTGAGAGAAAATAGGCAGCTGCAAGAGAGAAGACAAAAGGAAAGCCTGTGGCTCAAATTAATCAAGAGCAATTGATTTGAAGACAAATAGGAGCAATGCAGGATTTGACTACTGTGAAAATCACAGGGTGCTTCCAAGAGGCCATTGACAAAAAATTGGAGTGTGTTCCGGGTATTGTGACTGGCCCGGAAATAGAGGCAAGGAGGAACTGAATGTGAGCCAGGTCAAGGCTTCACAGTATTATACATCAAATTAACATAGTGGTGCTGACATGGTAAGGAAGATGGAGGAAGATGTGAGAATCTTAGGTAGATGGGACTGGTAATTTGAGGTGGATGAGGAGAGCTGCAGGGGATTAAGAACTGCAGGAAGCTGTGGAAAGCTTGAGGTTGGCTGTGGTAGAGGCAGTTTTTGGACTGAACACTACTACCTCCTGTGCTTCAGTGTTAGGGCACCCCTTGCATCTAGGAGCCAGCAACTCTTTTGCCCATTTGAGGATAAAGTATTTAACACAGTTAGTCAAAATTGCAAGTCAGACACTTTCAAAAACAAAACAAAACATCGGGGGGGGAGCGTGGGGGGGGAGGGAGCCAACCAAACAAATAAAAAGAATCCTGACTTTTTAAAACGTTAGAAACTGGGATTATTAATTTTTGGTTGTTGTCATTTCAAGGTCATATGTTTAAATGTATTTGTTACTTCAGCAGTGATAGAAAATGTCCAAGCAACATGACTTTCCTTAAAGCAGTATCCTTGAAAAGTTAATTATCTAAAAGGTTTCAAAATGTTAATGGAAAAGGAAGAAATTAGGTTACCTTGGAGTCAAGGAACTTTTAGTGAGATGTGTAGCTATGAAAATATATGGTATCATATGTTTGCACAATTCCTTTTACCTCCTGGAAAGCTGTAACATTTTAGTTTACTTTTTATTTTGCTTTTTTTTTTAACAGAGAAGGAAAGTAGCAATGTAGGAAAGAGTCAATGAACTATAACCTATTTACTTTCAAACAGTTTTGTTCGTATACCACAGTTCCATAGGATGGGCTGGTGATCCATTTCTCTGCAAGTTCAACTGAAATGACACTACAACTTTCATCCAGTTTTCTCACTTCATAAATCAGCTGCAACAAGGGCCTGATATAATCTCATGAATGAACCTTGATGACCAGGAAGCATTGAAGGGAAGAGAATCCTACTCTCAATGCATTATCCAAACTGCTTGTTTGCAGGAGTCTCACATTTCTTAAGCTGCATCCACGTTTCAGGGACTTGTCAAGACTTGCTGCAAAGTGACTGAACAGCTGGGTGCCAATTTACTGCACACTCCCTGTTCTGCACCAAGTCTCTGCATGAACCCTTTGAAAGGAGCTGCTGCACAAGAAGAGGAGAACTGAGCATGGGGAAATTGTGTCCATAATTACCACCTTCTGTTCTTCTCTTTTTGCTTCTTTTGCTTATGGGAAAGCTGCCAGGTAACTTAAGTGAGAATGGGAGCAGATGCTAAAGCAGTCAAATTTCTGGAAATCTTGGATTTTTATTACCTCCTTTGCAAAACAGACTTTGGAAGTTACAATCCAGAAGTTGGATGAACTGAAAATTTTCTACAATTTATGTGCAACAGAGACGCTGTCTGGTACTTTAAAGGGGGAAAAAAAAAGTTATAAAGGTTATCCTTGTTTATAAAGAGAAACAGAGGTGTTGAGTTTGGCTTATAAAGTTACATAGTTGTAAGTTTCTGATGCTTTCGGTGACATTAGACTTGTATGAAACTGCTGCAGCTGCAGGCCAGGTCAGACTCCACAGGTTTCTGGCCTTTTGTAAACATTGAAATTAAGAGGTTTATTGCTAGGACATTTCCCTGCCGTGCTGCGAAGTAAAACTTGATAGTGTTATGGATTGACTGGAAAGTCGAATTGGCAAGTCTAATTTCATCATGTGACTTAATTATCTACAAAATATAAACAATCAGCATGAATAGAAATTTTAATGAAACCTTAAAGAAAATAATTTGTATTTTAGTAGAGTACTGTTATTCTAAGATTTTAACCAAATTATTATCTTGACAATGTTTTTTAAGCATATCTAAAAATAATAACTTCTAATGCAGTGTTGTAATACATGAAGTCTCTACCATGTCCCATGTAGCAGAAGACTTGGTATCAGTCCCAATGAGTGAGAAAGTTAAAGGAGAAACTTAACGGTCTTGTGATTCAGTAAGAAACTAACCCAAATTTCAGCGTACATTGGAATTCAATAATGACATTTTAGAAATATAATATAACACTGTATCAATGGGAAAATTTTTACCATCTTCTAAGTTAAGTCCAAGCTGGGTTTTGTGTTTATTTAAAATATTCAAATTAATTTTCAGTTCAGACAGCTACTTCTGTAGTTGGCATAAACTACAATTTCTGTAGCATTTGGAATTCCATATGAATGACTGAAAACATTCTCCTTTTTTTTATTCTAAGAACTACAAAGATTGAACAAAGACCTTCAAGTGGAAAGATAAAAACACTTGGAAACACTGTGCCACATAGTAACCAAACATGAAATATAAACTAAAGCAAGGAGCATATCAGATGGGAACAGAAAATAAATTCTTGTTAGTCTTGGGAATTTCTACTTATAAATAGAGGATTTCTAGGCAGTTCAACAACAGAGTATGTTTTGAGGCAGAGAAGTTACAGTTATGAAATACCCAATTTGTTGTGCTTAAGAGTCAAATACGAAATAAAGAGTGGACTTTCGACTCAAACGAATGATTATTTGAAATTACTGCAACTAACCCATCCTATTTGACAACATAACTTGAAATTGTATTCTGAGAAAAGTTCTGATTGAGTAACTTCTGGCACAAGTAATATAATTTCAAGTCTGTGTTTCAGTACTGTCTGCTTCTCTTGTACAATCTATTCTATTTTTCCACTCTTCAAGATGACACTGAAAACTTGACACTAGGAACTTACTATACCTTTACTGATTTTTTTTTTTAAATTTCTATTTTTTTTTCAGCTAATAAAATGTGAACTAATGCATCATAAAATAAAATTCTGGATCATGCCAGAAAAAAAGAAAGTAAGGACTGGGAAAACATTGAACATAAATGTTTTGAAGATATATTCATAGATACTACAGTCAGAACAGACTGTGACAATTTAGCTTGACCCCTTACATAGCAGGGTACCTAAAAGTAGTGAAAAGGATCAAGTCTTACATACTGTTCTTGTAGGCACTCACACTCACCTGAGGTTGTTGGTTTGTTTTGGGGTTTTTTTGCAGTCAATGGGATTAACTCCCATTTTCTAAATTAAAAAGATTGTGCTTGTAGGACAGGTGCTTTGAAGAACTCATATAATTTGTTATATGCAATATTTTGTTTTAAATCTTTTCTCATAATAACTTATTTCATCAGTAAAAGTGATAGAAGAAACTTTTCTTATTATGATTTGAAAATGTATATTATTTGAAATTCAAGGAACACAAATAAAAATTTGTTGTGTGTTTAAAGTCTTTGTTTCTGACATTTTCAAATGCAGCCAAAGGAGTAACTTTTATAATTTCATCTTGATAATGTATTGCTTAGTTTCTTGGAAGAAGTTTGGAAACAAACTTTGGTCTCTGCTGAGTACTTGGACAATTAAATAAATTTTGTTTTAGTAATGGGAAGGAATATTTCCTGGATAAACAGGTAATTTGAATTAGTTTAAAGAATGCCTTAACACTTTGAAAAGTAGCCTCATCAGCCTCCATCAGATATTAAAGTCAAACCTGGTTGGTGCTTGGATGAGTGGAAATCTTAAGGAAGTTGTAAGGTTCTATGTAAAGCGATTCAGTGTCCACATCCACTTGGTGTTTTACATGAGCTTGGGTGTAATATTAAAAGTCTGAAAACATACCACTTTTCAAATGAATCATTAACCTGAAATAGCAGGGAAGCAGGGAAATTATGGGTTTCTTGCTGAGAAATTTCAACCACTCATCGCTTCTAGAGCGTAGATAAACCACAAATAATTTATGCATGATTTAGGGGCTTTGGTTTCGTGGTCCAGGCTATATTTCAAATAACACACTAATAGTTTGCCTACCTACTCCCCTTAGCTACAACTGGAAAGTCTGTTCTTA